CCGGAAACACAGTCCTTTTGATTTGAGTGCTACCAGCTATCTCCTGAGCTGCCACCAAAAACAAAAGGATCATTTTCAGACCACAGGGATTCACTAAAAGAGCTACTATAGCTTAGATCAAGAATGTCCCCCAATGACCTCACCCAGAGTGACTGGAAGGTGACCGAAATATAGTGGGCAAGGCAGCTGACTTGGGAGGTGGGTTCTGGTTGGAAGAGGCAGGTTACTGGAGATGTGACCTGGAAGGGTCTATTTTCCTCCTTAGCTCCTGGCCACAACGATGTGAGCAGCTTTTCTGCCATCCAGCCCCTTCTATCATGCACTTCCTGCCTTGGAGACAGCAACTATGAACTGAAAATATGAGCTAAAATTAACCTCTCCTTCAAGTTGCAAGTGTCAGATACTGTGTCCAGCAATGAAAAAAATGACAAAGATAAGAGCAAAGGGAATGGAAGCATGAAGACTGAAATGTGTTCAGGACATTTTTAGCTCACTGTGCACTTGTGTGTAGACTGTGCAACTGATTCTCTTAACAAGCCTGGAGTGCAGGTAAGGGACCTAATGTGATCCTGCTGTACAGAAGAGACAGAAAAGGCTCACAGAGCTCAATCACCAGCTGAGTCACCAGCTATGGTGTAAGAAAGGAGCATAAGTACACTAAGTGCTAGGCTGCTATCATAGCCTGCAACCAGAGGCCAAATTTGAACTAGCTGGACATTCTGAGCATTACTTCCTTTCTTTCAATGAGTCAAGAAACAAAGGTACTTTCTGAAACACTTAAAAAACAAATGATCCAAATTTCTTACTAGTTTTCTTTCTTTAGGAAAAATGATGCTCCAGGAACGGAGGCAAAACCCAAGGATTCATTCACAAGACAGCCAACAGTGACCAGGACCGAGTGGAAATTTCCACACACCAGGGTTTCACGTGTATGCTTCCAGAGCCGAAGGACCTCTAGTGTCCAAGATGTTCAAGCAGATTAAAATGCACAGCTTTCTGAAAACCTTTGCTGACTCTGGCCAACTTTCAGGCTTCTCCAGAATCCAATGGGGCCAACATGATTCACTGAATTCTTTATGAATTAAGGAGCTGTAAATTACGCATCTTTTCTTTGAAACATGCATTACTTTCCACACTTTACAGCCAAACCGAATGAATAGTATCACAGAGCCAGTTTTGTCTCTGGGAAAATGTTCTCCCCTCTCCCTGGTCTTCCTGCAGGCTGGTGAGGTGGCAGTGATGGTTGAGGAAGCGACCCAACTTGCCTTTTTTTTTTTTTTGAGTTTGAAAGTGCGAAGTGATGTCTGTGCAAACGATTTCACTGTGAAAGTTTTAAGACCGAGTTGCAGGCAAAGAGCAAGTACAAATTACACATGTGTAACCGGCCAAGCAAAAGGAACAGCAGGAGAAATCCATTTCTGGGGAAGTCTGGAAAGTGGAGGGGCTTGGAGGAATGCAATGCCTGTCCTCCCTGGAAGTCACAGCAATGGTTTGTCCTTCAAGGTCATTCATTCTTTCTTGGATGGCATCCTGCGTTAATACTCCGCTGCCCCAGAAACAAAGCAGCCCACGCTCCAGCTAGAGGAGAGGAACATGTGTGGGGCTGTGTTCAAGTGGGCCCGGGCTCAGGTGGCTCTCAGACAAAAAGGAGTCGACTGTGGACATGGGTTCTGGCTCTAGACAAAGAAATGAGCCTATGGCCACGGCTTTGCAACAGGGTGGCTGCTAACAGGTGACTATATCTGTGTTTTCACTCATTTATTTAAAGATTATTCTCTGTAAAATGTCAAAAAGGATAGTTTGGAAAGAAACAGAAAGTTTGGGAAAACCTAGCTGCTTCCAGAAAATACAAAGAACAGCCGTAAGATGCTTAAGCATTTAAAAGATTGTTTTACCACAACAAGAGGTGCAGATGTGGTTATATAAAATGATTTTGGTCAAAAAGCATGGTTCTTGGTCCTGTCCTCTTCCAGGTGCCTTACCATTCAAGAAGTGAGACAGAAGATTTGCCTGGCTTCAACCCCTGCAGACCCAGACCCTCCTAGACTCAGGATCCTCCCTGCAGTTGTCAGGCGGGAGTACCCTCATCACCTGCAAAGCCTAGATCCTTTCACTATTTCAGTATTTTTTCAAACCACTGGCCTTGGAGATACTGACCCTTCCCATCTCCAGAAAGCTCTGAATCCCCGAACTGTGCACTATGCAGCTCTTCAAGGCTCGCAACTGTGGGCAGATTGCTAACTTCTGGCAATGGGGTAAAGTATGAGGCTTTTGAGCACTGAGATCTGCAATCATGTGGGAATCAGCTGACTGACCTTGGCCAGCACCTGTCCTATGAGTGTGTGTGTGGCGTGTGGCGTGGTCCCTAAAGGATACGCTGTGTAGTTAGGGCCAATACCCTTCTCAGCCCTCGCTGCAGGCCAGGCCTTGCTGATGAGACAGTGTCTCCTCACAGCTGCCCAAGCCCCACAGAGGCATAAACAACACCCTCTTCTGAGTTACAGAAGTGACCACCCAGGTTTGCCAAAATGAGGATGGGCTCTGGCAGGGGCAATTTTATTTCATAGGATCAAGGAGATGGAATACAAAGTTTCAGCTATTTTTTTTTTAAAAAAAAGCCATTAGGCCATCTTCCAAATAAACAAACTATTCTTGGAACAAGAAAACAGCCTGCTAAGTGGTCAGGCCGGGGCCAGATCATAAAGAAATCAGGCCCACCTTGAGCCCTGCTCACCACTTAACCTCATCCCCTCGATTTTCTACTTGGCTACTTTGTGCCCAAGCTTCCTACAGGCCCATGCCAAGAGAGACCTGATAAGCTTGTCTGACACAGACCTTCCAAAGCACAATATGCACACTTGGAAAGCAGCCTCTTCAAATTACTAAGGGGAGCATTCCTGGCAGGGTGAGATTACTTAGAATCTCTCAGTCAAGTTACATGATCAAGGCAGTTAACAGCACCTCAGAAACACCAGACTTGTGCTCACTATCAACCTGCTGCACTTTAAAAAGATGATCTTAAGTATGAATTTTTTTCTCTCAGTTTGCAAGTTTTCTATTGTGTATGTGAGTATCTATCTATCTATCTATCTATCTATCTATCTATCTATCTATGTTATATGGAATGATTTACAGGATGGCAAAATAACTTGACAGAGTAGGAGAACTAGAGAATTTCTCACCACCTTACAGTGCTACTTGAAGAACAGAATTCCCATGATTCATTTTAATTTCTATGATTCCTCAGCATCATCTGCATTCATTTGATTGTAATTTTCTTAGTATTTAGATTGTCAGAACTTTGAATTATTATTTTTATTAAGTGAAATATATTCTTTTTTCAAAGTATAACTACATTAATCAAAATCTAATACAAAAAACAAACATAATTTGAGGACATTATTCTTCTAGTAAGTACTTCTATGCTCTGAATACATACTTGTCACTGAATTAAAAAAAAAACACATAGCCACATTCATAGCATGTAGTTTAAAGACAAAGATTAGGGCTTTGGCATCAAAGACCAAAAAAAAAAAAAATGTAAAAGTCACTTTAAAAATATACATGAAAATATTCCATTGAAACCATAAGTAACTGGACTAACACATGTTGTACATCCTTTACTTTTGTTCTTGGGACCAGAAATGCTTCAAATTTCAGAACTTTTTTTCCAGATTTTGGAATATTTGCATATATAGAACATCTTGAGAACAGGACGTAAGTCTAATCATGAAATTTATTTAGGTTTCACAGACATTCTATACACATGGCCTGAAGGTCATTTTATCCAATACTTTTGGTTGAGCCTACCTTTTGAATGAGAGCAGTCACATGAGGTCTCACGTGTGGCATTATGTTCATGCTCAGAAAGTTTCAGAATTAGGGACATTGTAAACATTCAGATTAAGGATGTTCAGCTTGTACTGAACCAGGAGTGAAAAACTCTGGCTTTGGTCTCCAGTTCATCAACTACCCGGCAAACAGCCCTGGCTGAGGTGATTTCCAAAAATGCTCTTAGACCCCAAACATGTATTTTTATTACATTTTCAAGAATTAAAAATGGGCACTGTATTGGCCTGTGACCAGTCCTGCTTCTCTGGCTACAGGGCTGAGACTGAGGATTGAACAGTGGGGCAAGGATGCTACTTCCTTTCCACAAAAGACACATTTGCACTGGTGCCTAACACTTTTTGTCATCTTGTCTGGACCGCTTAGCCCAGGATAGACTGGGGGAGCCCAACATCCTTTGTCAGACACAGACTAGGACTTCTACCTCTTAAACACAGGTTCTTGGCTCTTCTGTATGCTTTTGTCAGTACAAGTCACGACGAGATAAGAAATGTTCTTTTTTTGGTACAGGGATTGAACTTATGATTGTGCACTTGCAAAGCACGTGCTTATGCCGCTGAGCTAAATCTCCAGCCCCAAGAAATGTTCTATTGTGGCTCTGGAAAAAGACACATAGCTCTGCCTTCCATAACGTGCTAACAATTTCTGTGTTTTTGCTAACAATAACTGGACTCAACAAACACCTTCAATGGAACTAAGTGTCCCAAAACAAAGTTCAGACAGGCCAACGAATACTGCTACGATAGCATGTGCTGTTGTCGACCCAGAAACAGTCAATCACGGTTGTGCCCCAGCAGGCAGAGAAGTGACTTGCAAGTCCTAGGTCCTTTTGGACTCTTCTGGAATTCGTGGGTAATGAAGAGGCTGAGTGATGAGAACTGTCTAACAGCCCTCTAAGAAAGAACCTAAACACATCTGTTCTTGACCAAGATAGTTCAGATCAGAACTGAGGAATGATTATTTCCCTTCTGGTATCTAAAACTTAGCAGTAAAGACAAGTTGAACAAGGTAAATGAGCAAATTACTTGAAAAAGTGTTAAGATCTGGAGCATCTGGAACAGGTTTTCACCTGTCAAAGGTTCTATCAAAGCTGAGCTTTTTCCAGCCTTCCAGAGCAGCGCAAGACCATTTCTCACATGAACAGGACTTACCAGGTAGCGCTCCTCTTGCCGCATGCTGGGGGTGCGGATCATGTGATTCTGTTCCCCTCTCCAGTCTCCAAAGCGACGGAAAAAATAGTTAGATAAGAACCGGCTGACAGGGTCTCTGATGATGTTGATGTAGACGGGCTGGTCTCCTCCAAACCTAACACACACATGCACATGAACAGGAGCACATTACAACCCATCACTTTGAGAGGAGAATAAAGTCTGCCCTGTAGGTTAACTTGGCATCCAACCCATCTGCTAAGGTGCCAATGAGCACTTGCATAAGCAATCCCAGTGCTTCCTAATGGGCATCTTGTCATCACATGAGAGGTGGAGACAAAGACATCTGAATCACGTCTCTGTTGAGAAGCTGTGAGGACAGTTTCAGAGTACAGGAAACCATGCTCTCTGTCAGAGTCAAGGTGCAGATGTTGTCTGGTTTCCTCACCAAGCATAGGTTTGTTGAGGACAAACAATGTTGTATTGGAATCTGCAGTCTCACTGTGAGGCAGAACCCAGTGGCATACAGGTGGCCTTCAGTGGATGCTTCAATCCACTCGCTAGCTCTGATTGTCTTAATAGATGACATGCCACATCTATAATGTAACTGCAACAGCCCCAGGTGAGGTATTCTGCTGTGAGTGGGTTAGCAGTGGCCAATCTGCCCTGGATACTCACTCTGCACCATGTTCTCAATACTTTACATGGCCAACTCACTGAAGCCTCTGGCACTTGCATGGTGCAGATATCCCAATTATTCCCATTTATTCTTGGTGACACTAACACAGGGCGAAGATGAATGATTTTTGATTGACCCGGGTGATGAATCCAGATGATCTGGTTCCAGAATCTCTATTCTTGACCACAGAAAGTTGAGAAAAGTATCCAGAATGAAATAGAAATCTACACAACTATCCTCTAGTGATGGAAAGTGCATTTAAAGAAAAAAATACATATTTAGATGTTCCATTTTTATTCCTTTCACAAAGGGATCAGGAAACTGCACTGAAAGGTGACCTGAGGACTAGGCCTTCACAAGGCAGGATGACCAGGTCAGCTGAATTCTCCTCAGGGTTCTTCATTATCCCTTTGGACTGCTTGCAGTAGTTCTGAGTAGTTTTGAGGGAACATACTATGGGCAGGGTGGAGGTTTGGTGACTCCCAAAGACCTTATGACCCTGTAGCCTTCTGATGAGGGTGTCTTGACATTCTTCTGGAGTCAGAAAGAGCTTGGAAGAAGCAGACTGACCACCTGGCTCTTGCCCCTCTTTACCTCGTGGACTATATTCACCTTTGGAAACCCAGTCTAGCATTACAATCACATCTTCAGTACACTGTACTTCAGTACACCTCCCTCTTTTCTGCCCTGAGTCCTTCCTCCCCATACCATGTCAAAAGATCTGTCTCTTTCACTGGACTGCAAGTGTCCTGCAGCCAGGGACTACATCATTTAGCATAGTGTGTGGTGCACAGCAGCTGCCCAGCACATAGGAACTGACTGAAGAAATACAGTGAGACCTTGGTTCATGTTGCAAACAGCTCCATTTTCAAGTAAAAGTATTTGACAAAAATTTGCTTCTGTTCACAGATTTCATATCAGCTGACAACCAAGGCCATCTTTTGCATGCAAATATAAATATGGCCATTTCCCCCAAATCGTAAAACAAGTTAAGTTTGTGAACTGGAGCCATATGTTTCAGTTATTATATTTCAGCCTGTTTCACAGAGTCTGTTACCTGAGGAAAGCAGCCACAAGCCATCAATGCTTTTTTCACCCATCAATTCATATAATGTTGAACTGGTTTATTTGCATTTTAAAAGAGGATCCAGAGAGAAGCCTCCAAAGGAATAACTCTCTGGTAGTGACATTTTGGTTTCCAGAATGCATGCACAATATTCTGGGCTCCTCAAGTACTGCCAAGTAGGAGGGCTTTCTGTTAATGAGAAAGATGATCCTTGCCAATGGATCTTGTTCAGTTCCCAGATGTTTATAAGTGACACGTACTATTGTGTAAGCAACTAACTATAGTCCCAGGAGTGAGCTATTCCAATCCTTAGCTAAGTGCCACATATATTCTAGATCTATCATCCTCTTCTAATTAAATTGGGTTTCATATCTATGATAAACAGCAACTAAATTAATAACCTAAGGACTATGGAGACAAAGCATATTATCATGGTTTATATTGGTGGCCCACAACCCTCATGCATTTGCATTATGCATTTGTGACTGGCTCATTGTCTAGTGCTTAGATTGATTGTGTCAGTGCTACACCCAATAGGGGCGGAGCCAGCATACAATGTAATGCCAGGAAGAAGGTATGTCTGTCTTTCTCTTGCTGGTTTCTGCCTTGCTGTTTGCAGCTGTCATGAACTGCAGCCCCGCCATGCCATTCTGCCTTGGAGCCAACTGAGTATGGATTGAAACCTCCAAAAACTGTAAGAAATAAACCTTTCCTTCCCCAACTTTGAGCATCAGGTATTTTGCCTCAGCAATGAGTAAAAAGTAACTAAGACACATATATAACAAACATGAATCCAACTCAGCCTTCAAAATTGTGTCATGCTTTTTACAAACCTCAAGAGCACTTTTATCTTTGAGACTCAAGACTCAAGAGCAAAATTCTGACCAGGAGAGGGTCTTAAGCCTGATAACTGCCATGAAGTCAGACTTGAGGACTGACAAGGTTACTTGACTACGACTTACTCCTATTTATACATTGAATCCTGATGCAAGATTTCCAGAGTAATGTTTTGTGGCAGTTTATGTTCACTGCCAACTTGTTTGGCATGAGAGAAGCCCGTTAAAGTATACTTCTAAGTGTGTACGGTGGCTCAGGGAGGCAAAATCTTGGGGATTGTGTGCTTCCTGGCCCTTTCGTCTCCAGCACTGTTCCTTTGTTCTGCTTCTTGGCTGCCATGAAGTGAGCATGTTTGTTCTGCCATGCCCCTCTGCCATGATATTCAGACCCATAGCAATAGAACCAGCCTGCCATGGACTGAGACTTCTGAAAGAGTGAGCCAATTAAACCATTTCCTCCTTTAAATTGTGCTTACCAGCTATTTTGATCCAACAATGGGAAAGCTGACCAAAACACCTTCCAAAACAGAAGTTCTACATGGTGTCCAAATTCATTGTCAAGGATCAGATAATATAATACCTTCTGTCTAGAAATTTCTAACTATAAATAGAAGTATCTGATAACTATTTCTCCCTTTCTAGAGGTAACATTAATAATGATTTCAGGCTGCCAATTATCATCCTTTTAGCTTCTTCTCAAACTGGTAAAATCCTCCAACCCTCAGCATCGGTTCTTCGATGCTTGGAACAGCACCTCCTATCAGAAGATACAAGCAGAAGGGTGTGAGTGCCTTCAGTGTTCTGATGTGTTCCAAGGGAAGAGAGGGGGACGCATTTGCTGTGAGATGCTGGGGCAGACAGGGTGACAGGAGGTCACACCCAGAAGTATACTTTAACAGACAGAGTGATGGCTGTGCCACTGCTGTTAAGAGAAGGCCCAGCGATTTAGCTCAGGGGCATAAGTGCCTGCCTGGCAAGTGCAAGGTTGTGAGTTCCATCCCTGGTACCAAAAAAAAGAGTTCCTGCTCAGAGAGAGGAAGATAATATGATAAGGCAAGAAACAAACAGCTGACAATGCATAGCAAGAAATAAACGGGAAACGAGGTGAGGTGAGGCAAAGTCCCACTTCTTCTTGTCCTTGGTGGGCCACCAATACTTGTGGGCTCATGTGGTGCACAGTGAAATTGGTCCAACAGTGTTTAAGCTTGGGAAACTGAGAAGAAACCTCTTGTTTTTAAATAGAACTTTTACAGCCTGTGTAAATAGGTGAAAACTACATTAAATAACCTCTAGTATCAATTTTTACTTTGGAGTTGCCTTTGAAGTTTGAACTTCTGTAGCTATTATGAAAGATCTAAAGGGCACAGAAATCAAAAGGCGCCACACTGCTAATGATAATAATAAACACAGGCAAGGAAGTAAGGTGTGGAAACCAAATTGAATTATGGAAATGGAAAAATCTGATTTGTTTTGTTAAATTATTCTGTCAGAAGGCAGCTTTGTTCCCATCCATCTTGAAGACTTCCACTGAAGAGACGAGAGAAAACACTGAAATGTCTGCCCTTGGGCCCTGCACCCACCTGCGTCTGTGGTGATTGACTGACTTTTAAATACTGTGATTTTAGAAGTTAGTCTTGGTGTAACTGTGATTACCACCAGAGATGGGAAATAGGATGGAAATGAGAGGAGGGGAAGGAGCCATAGGTGAGCAGTGGTAGCTTGATTGCTTTTCATATTGATCGCTCTTGTAATTCATTTGGACTATTCTGATAGCATAAGGCTCTGATGTAAAACGTCACAAGGGTTTCTCTACAAGAACCCAATTAAATGGGTGAGAGGAATTCTAGATTGAAAAGGAATTATCCTTTGACTCCTTAGAAAACAAGCAACTAGTGGGGGAAGGGAGAGACACGCTGAGTCCTGTCTGCCAGGAGTCACGCCTCTCTGGTGTGTTAATATAAGACATGCCACAGGCAGGGACACTACCGAGGTTGGAAAGTTGAAGTTTCTTCAAAAATTGTATCTTAAAATTACAACCAGAAAAGTACATATGAAACCACAGAAGAAAAACATAAAACCCTATTCTGACATTCCACCAGTAACAGCTTCTTCTAGCCCAGGTGGGCTGGGCTTGATTCTCCGCATCATCCTAGGGAAAAACATCTGTCTGGTCCCAATTTCCAGGGAGTTAAAAAATGCTGTGGGAGAACAACCCACCAGAAACCCCATAAATCCAAAGCAAAGCCTAAAATCTCTGCTGAGCTAGTCATGCTCTGATGTCCTTTGGCAGGAAACCTTCCCCGCAAGCAAGGAGCCGAGATGCTGTGTACATCAAACAAGTCAGCTCCTGAATTTTACATACTCTGAGTGCCTATATTACAAGTAGGAATGCTACATTAAGACGGAAAAAAAGACATTCAGTTTTGATTAATGCTATATCTTTCAAAAGTTCTGAAAACTTATATGCACAGGAAAGTGTGAGAAAAGAGGCAGGTCTGATTCTTCCAGTTGGCTCTTGAACACAGATCCTGCTGCATATTGGTGATGTACGGAAGATTTGAAATAACAACAGAGAACCCAGATTACAGTATCAATTTGCTTGTTACCTTCCTTTCTGGAAACAAGCAATATACAGCAGTTGTAAGTGCAGGCTTCTTAACAGCAGCTTAATTGGGGCCTTAGAATTCAAAACCTAGAATTTATATCTTAAAGAATGTTAAAAGCTATCCTTAATAAGTCTCTATTTAATTACCATTTTTCTTTGCCCACTGTATATTTTGGGGTTTTCCTCAGTCACAATTTGCCCTTCATAGCTAAGATGTTTTCATTATTCTAAAGACACTCCCTTTAAAGGAGGGTAAAGCTGATTTTTAACTCCCTGGGTTCTATGAGTATAACGCTGGTCTGTCAGGTGTTCAAGTTCACCATTCTTTTGCTTTTGAGAAGTGTTGTAGCTAAGATTCTGCTGAGGCTTTCAGGGGAGATGATCTCAAGGGGCATCAGGCCAGCCCCCACAGTCCTGCTTCAAACCCTGCTGCCATCCTGGCTAAGGAGTCCGCCCCACAGGCTGCACTTCCTGCTCTGGTCATCTGCTCTGTGGATCCTACCTTTGCAGGCACATGGTTCTGGGAACGTCATTCCCCTCACTGATATAAAACGGACACCCCCCCCCCCCATCCCAGCAGAGGTGTCCTTTTGCAGGCCAGGTATCACTGTGCCCCGCTGACTCCCACCTTCCCCGCAAAGCACCCTGCAGCTCCCTCCCCCTATTTCATCACACTTTGCTGCATTGCTATCTAAGTGGAAGAAGAATTTAGGGGCTCCCAAAGGCAAGGGGCACATGCAGTGCTCATTAGAAGCCTCCCGCCCAGTGCTGCTTGGAAGACAGAAGCTGCTCCCACCATGCGCCAAGCAGATGGGCCAAGGGGAAGGAACAGAAGCCAGGTCTGCCTGTTTCCGTGGCTGCTCTGGACACTCTGGACATATCACGCCAGCCACGGGCAGGGCATGAACCAGGTTCAGTCCAAGACATTCACAGAAATACTCTTAAAGATCCCTTTAAACTGTAACATTTGTCTCTCAAGACAGCTTTGATCCGCATGGTCACAGCATCTCTCCAAGGCAGGTGTGAGCAGGAGCTGTGCCTTTTTTTAAAGATGGAAAAACAGATTCTCTCCTCCCTTCTACCCAAGACTGTGCAGTACTCGCTCAAATCTTGGATCCTTGGAAGCCCCTGGAGGCCTTGATATCCAAGGATCTCCTCAGCTAGGTCTAAGCCATTTTATGCAGATGGCATTTTTTTCTTTGCAGAAGTAAAACAATCAAGATTACATTCTTACACACGTATCTGATGGTAGAAGCCATGATAAAACGCCACCATGCTGTGCTCTGCTGATCCGGTTAAGACACCAGCTTTGGGTTTCTCATTAGAGTTGTACACTGAGCTGAGATGATTATTATAAATGTTGTGTAATTTGTTCAATTACAAAGATCTGACCAGGAAGCAAAAAGAGTTAATGAATGAAGTTTAAGAAGTCAAGGTAATGCAGAAGGGAACACAGGAGCACAGCAAGGACCAGGGAAAGGCAATCTCTTTACGAATCATAAAACTCAGGTCTTGAAGGAGCTAACAAGACCTTGTTATCTCATTCTGTCTAATGACTCATTCTTGGCTCTCTGGAGAGAAGAGGAAGGGGGCACACACTGGCCAACCCAGCGAGGAGCCAATTTATATGAGTGATTGAAGAAACACTTTGAGCTGCTCACCACCAGGCCTGCAATCATTTGCAGGTATTCTATTCACTGTCCACGGAACCTTGGAAGGCCATCCCAGGAAGGCCTGGGATGCTCATTTCTAAAGACAAGGCAGCAACTTCTCTTTCTTTGCTTAATAATACACCTTGCTGAATGTCACCATCTTTACACTTAATTGGCACAGGGCCTGCACCCAGCTGGGAAATCCTTTGAAGGCTGAAACCTGTCCCCAACCCAGTGGGTTGGCACCATCACAGGGCAGAGCAGCACTAGAGAATGCTCAGGGAAGGGCGGAGTGCTGCTCCCAGGCCTTCTGTGGAGCTGTGAGGTATTGCAGCCCCAGGTTAAGTGAGGAAAGTGCTATCAGACTGCTCACACAGGCGCAGGGGTGTTGGGCTGCTCAGCAGATCTGCAGGTGGCCTCAGTGGTCTGCCAGGCACTGGCAGTACAGGCCAGGCCAGTGGGGAGGGCAGGAGCCCAAGCATTCCTGTTCAGGAGTTAGGCACAGAAACAATAAAGCTGCTTATAGAAGTTAGCACTTTATCCAAAAGAAGTTCCCAAACACCTGAATTTGAAGAGCTTCATTATTATCAGAAGGCCACAGAAGCTGCAGAAAAAAGCTAGAATTCTAAAATACTTTACCAATGTCAAATGTGCAAGGTTTAGTATAATCAAAGGAAGTAAAGAAAAAGAGATTAGTACTAGATCTTTGGAGCCTATAAAATATGTATTATTCCACTGCTAGGCTACTCCCAGAGCTCTTTGTAGATTCAAACTGTACAAACGTTGCAATGAAATATTTATGTTAAAATATCTATTTCGTGCCTTTTTTGTTTCAGTACAGAGGCCAATTTTGTTTTGCTTTGTTTTTAAAAAACTGCCTGGTCAAGTGTCTTCTCATTAAAAATAATTCCAAGTTTTTATATTTTACATGGTATTCTGGAAAGAAATGAGTTTTCTGTCCAAATATTTCAAGTTTGTATTCTACTGCAGCACAAAAAAAAAAAAAAAAAAAGGAAAAGAAAAGAAAATGGATTACAAATGTCTTTTCAAGGACACTACACTATTTTGTAAATAAAGATAGATTTTTAAAATAACTTCGTTAGCATGAAGCTATTAAAAAAGAAAGTATATTAAAAAAGAAAGGAGAGAATCATTTAAAAAGAAAGCTCTTACCTTGAGAAGTTGAGGAAATGAACATGTCGAGTGAATAAATAGGGCTGTTCAGCAGTACTTATATTTTTAATCAGTTCCATCTATTAAAAAAAGTACAAAATTAGCATATATAGGATCTCGTTTACCAAGCCATCTTAAGCTATAAGGTCATTTGCCCAACCCTTTTTATCCCCACTTACTTCTTCTGGACCCAGGACAAACAGCTGGGCTTTGGGCAACATTTACAAACTTTTGCATAAAGTTCCTTAGTGAATTAAAATAGCAGTCTCCAAATTTATAGTTTTGTATCTAATTTAATTGATTTCTACCAGAAAACAATGTGACAGGTTAAGTCATTTTTAACAGGAGAAATGAGTGGAGAGCTGTGCTGAAATTCAAGACAAAGAATGCTTTTCACCCTCTCCTTTAAACTCACACCTAGAAAAGAGGGTAACTGTGTATCTGTGGCATTACTGGATTTACACAAATACTTGAAATTAGAGTTACAGAATTTAAATGTGGGGATAAAACAAGACATTCTTGCTATTCTTGTATTTGATTATCAAAAGTTATAAGGAAATTGTTTCACGGGAAACACACACACCACCAAACATTTCAGTTCTTTGGTGGGTGGTCACCTGAATTATTTATTTGCAGTTATCGGCAAGGCAAAAAGTAGTTTATATTCCTATAAACTAACTTTTATGGTCGTCTGGAACATGTCATGATACAGAAAATGTTTAGCAAAATCTGTTAGAAATTCCAAGCATTCTCAAGACTCTGTGACTTCCTGAATTCCACTCTCCCCAGAATTTCTAATTGGCCCCATCAAAATGGACATGGGAATTTTTTAAAAGCACATTGAAGATTACTATTTTGGATGAACATCAGATGCACAGTATTTCTTGTTTTATGAACTACTTCAAGTTGAAAGCCAAGAACAAAAGTGGTCATTCATATGTCAAGCACAGGAGCAGTGACAATAAATTAAGGGGTCTGGACCTCCAGGTCTGTCTCAAACATGGCAACCCCTGGGCTATCTTGTTCCCATGTGTTTCACTCAGGGGCTGACACATGCATATGGGCATGAAAGTATTTTTTCAGTGAATTAATTCTGACTTTATAAATTGGTTTCTCAGGAGCTCACTGTCCAAACCGTCTGATTAGTTATTCACGTTGGCAGTGATAGCTTGAAGAAATGAATTTCAGTCTTAATGGCAAATAATTTGCAGCTCTTAATGCCTGTGTTTCCTTGGGGGCAGACTGGGGGTGAATAACGGCTTGCCTGTCCCCAAGCTTGACATAAAAGACAGTTGAATCCTGCCTCTTTATCTCCCGTTCATCCTCTGCATGCCTGTGGTTATGTTTGCTTCCTATGATGAAGTTTCTGGCTTGGGCATATTGTTAATTTTGAGTTTTGATCCTGACCAATAGGATTACTTACTTGGGAGCAGACACATGGTTAATTTATCTCTGAAGATGATTGTTTAGAAAAATAACTCGTCTATATGTATGTTTACTATAAAGATCATTCATGCTTTCATGTATATTATTCTTATTTAGATATTTCCCCGAACATTTAAGAGTCACATAAGAAAGCCCCATAGTACTGCAAAAGAAAAGTAGGTTAGAAGAAACACTATTTTTTTTTTTACCTACTCAACTTTATATTACACTCTTAAACACACATTGGTGTGTTAAAATTAATGGAAGAATAGTAATGGTTTGATTGTTGAGAACAGTGTCATAAGAGTCATAAAGCTGTCTGTTTCACTAGGAAAATGGATTAGCAGTGACAATGTAGACCTCTCTCTAGACGGTTCTTTAAATACAGAGTAAAGGTGCTAAAGCTCATGTTTATTGGATTAGTACAGCGAGGACAGGGACATTTCCCTTCCATACACTTTGTTGTTATGCAAAGAGTAAAATCAGTTACAATGGACCATAGTACCCTTTAAAGCATTATGTTCAAGGTGTTATTTGATCCTGACAAATACTCAGACTTGGCCTATTTCTAGCAAAGAGCACTGGTCTCTTGAGCTCCTGCTGCCTATCCATGGAAGGCTGCTTTTCCTCTCATCTTATTCTTATTTGCATGGATAGCATCATGAAAGCAATGACACTACCTAACACTACCAGGGCCCACCTCTCCTATTCCTGGCTCATGTGAATCACTCCTACCCTTTGGTCCAATTTGGTTGCATGTATTCATTCATCATTCAATGGGCATTTATTACAGATAAACACATGGATAGGATGGGTAGGAACACCCATAAAGAAGGTAGTGGAATGTGTTCTAATGATCTTGTGAATCTGCCGTGACTCACACGTTCTCCTCTTTATTCTTTATCCAGCACAATCTAACCATGACAGTTGGATTCTGGTTAATGATACCCTCCATATCCCAACTTTGATCTGGGTCTTTCCCGGACTCCTGTGTTCAATCCTTTGCTGAGTGCTGTTAATTCTACCTGTGCTGTCTCCCTCAACTGGTCCCGAAGATCACCTGTGCCATGGTCAGACAAACTGAACTCCTCCCTGCTTCTTCATCACATCTAAACCCAAGTAAGTCCAACCTCAGGCTCAAACTTCCTCTTCTGGAATGTTCTTCCACTTGTCTCTTCCACATGTTCAAATCCCGATGTGGCTAAAATGTTCCCCTTTCCCAAGAAGCCTTCCTGTGTCTCTCATTCGAGAGCCACTGATTTCCAACTTTGTGTCAGGCGGTGTGCTGCCTGTGGCTGCAGCTATGGAGGGAAACGATTTGATTCAATTCTTCATTTCAGGAAGCAGAGTTCTGTGGATGACTAGACTTAGGCAGACACGCATGAAAACACCGTGGCGCAGAAGGCGTCTAGGTGAGGGATCTATCCTAATGGTTGAGGAACAGTGAATGCGTCTGCAAGGTGGTGGTCTAAGTGGTGCAGAAGGACTTGTAAGAGCCAGCAGGTAAAGAGAGCCATGCAGACAGGGAGCAGCAGAGGTAAAGACAACACTTTCCGTGGCAGGCATATTAAAAATATGCTTCAGGAATTCGGGGTGCCAGGGGGTCAGCAAAACAGGTGAGAGTCAGAAAGGAGCTAAGGAATCGAGGTTACTGTAAACAATGCAAGGAATCTGGGTATTTATTCTGTGAGTGATCAAAAAAGATTTTCCCCCCAGATTTGAGCGCAGAGTGGAGAATATGAAGGACACAGTTTAGAGGTGAAGAGCTGCTAAGTGGTAAAGTGCTCGTCTTGTACACATGAGGCCTTGGGTTTCAACCTCAGCCTAAAAGATGGGACACACAAGTTCAGTTAGGAAGACAGCACTGCAGCATCACCCGGAAACTGTTAGAAATGCAAATCTTCAGGCCCCACCCCTGGTACTGAATTGAAAGAAGCATCCCTCCCACACCTGTGGTGTAACAAGCCTTCAGAGGTGCTGAGGCACATAGGTGTGAGAACCACGGAACTCAGCCAGTCAGTAGCGAAGAGAGATGGAGAGGCTTAGTGAAGGCTCTCCTGGTGCACAGCCTGGTGACCGCCTGGTAGAAGGTAGGACGAGAGAGTGGGCCAGAGAGCGCCCTTCCTAGAGCCCCGGCTAGGACAATGAGCACATGATGGTGTCCATGTGCAAGGATGAGAGTGCTGGGGGAGGAACGCATTTGGCTGAAGTTTACGGGCAGGTTTCCTTTTGAACATCTCTGGCTATAAATAATGTGACCTTCTTGACCTTTTATAGCACACGCTTTGGGAATGTTTCCTGTACTTTCTACATTGCACCGGAGCTGAGTTTGGCTTTGAGCTAGACTATAAGTTCCCTGAAGGCTCAGGCCAGGCTTACTTCACCCCTAGAAATCCTGGCCCGGGTACAAGCATGGAATGTATGCCTATGAGTGCTTAAGGAACGAAGAGCCCTGCTTTAGAAATGTTTTTATTTTTCTTTTTTTGACTCAAGAAATGTTCAGTTAACAGAAGACAGAATTATCTATCAGGCAACAAATTCAGCTCTTTTTGGAACAACGAGGTACGTTCATTTTCTTGGAGTCACGTGGAGCTTATACTATTACAAATTCTAGGATGTAACAACACCAAAGCGAAGTCCCACTCTGTGAGTGCTGCCTGTTGGCTGTTGGCTCCCTGTTAGCTCCCTGCTGAAAGCAGAGGCCCTTCATACATATGCTGTTATTTCATCCTCACAAGGACTCAGTGAGCTAAGTAGTATCGTCCAGATGGATAAACTGAGGCACAGAAGGGCAACACAGATTGTTTCAAATCTAATTAACACAAAAAGGTGGGGAAAGGATTCAAACGCAAGTCTGTTAGGGGATTCAAACAGTTTCAGGGATTCAAACTCATCTCAAATCCCCAAACCCTGCTCTTTATCATGCAGTTGTAATCAACTCACCATTCCCACTGTTACTTGATCCGTTCATAACTTTTTAAAAAGGAAGAAAGGGGTCAATTAGCACAGTAACTACGGAGAATAAAGAGGGTTTATGGGATATAAATTTTATCACTTCATATGTTGTGCTGGCCAACTGAAAGAAGGAAAGAATTAAGAAATGTAAATCAGAATAGTTTCTAAAAGGACTAGAGTGAGAAAACAGCATATTATCACAAGAACAGGAACAAATTTTAAACACTTTAAAAATAGGTTTGTAATAGAATTTAATGGAAGAAGTTAAATCACAGTGTGCCTGATACTGACACAAAATTAAAATTAATGCAAAAAATAAAGAAAAAGGCAAGAATCAACAGGTTTACAATGCAGAGGATATGCCCGCTTAATCATTTGCTTTCAAACTACTGAGTGGAATCGTAGAGAGGACTAAAGACTGCTCTTGACTTCAGTAAGGAAACACTTGTCAGCAACCGACGCTACAACCTGAATACTTCTGTCACTCAGAACAACAATGGAGGCCTCTAATTTTGCAAAGCATCCTAAATGAAAGAAAGAAAAGAGGCGTGTGTAACAGATCAAAGCCAAATAAAGAGCAGCTCAGAGCAGAGCTGTTGGTTCTTTCGGCTGGAAGGATGGCTGGCAGCTCAGGTTATCTGTCCTCTTCCTGGGGTGCAGGAACACCTGCTAACAGAAGGCAGGAAGATCTCTCAGCTTT